ATCGATCCACAGGGACAAATGTGAAATTAAACTAATTTAATTGTTAAATTCTTAATTTAATTTTGATTAAAAAGATGATGATTCATAAACTAATAATAACTAAAATAAACTAAGAATTTAACCTAACAATTAAAAGTGAACTTGGGGTTACTGATTTTAGGGAAAAACCTAGGGTAATGAATTCACCACTAGTTAAGGTCTCAATTTGGAAGTCAATTATGTATGGTTCGAACCAAATAATACTTCGCAGCTACAAGTTAGAAGCATTGATCAAGAGAATTATCATGCTTAATGTATAGGCACGAACCATCTCAAGTAGCATGAGTCATTCGCTCTAAACTAGGGTAGCAAAATGATTCGTCCCTCGTAGTATGGCTCGTCTCATACCTTGAATATGAAAGAACATAAAATCATTGCATGGAAAGTATTCAACAATCACAGAAATGAGAATACTTGAAGAAATAATGGAAAATATAATTGAAAACTTCTTGAATACCATACAACTTGTTCAAACCATTACATAATAAAAAACCAAGAAGAAAACCCTCTTTACTTGGCTAGAGTTTCATCAAAACCCTAAAAATAGAAGCGTAGCCACTCATAGAGGAGTGGAAAGAGGTAGAAGAAGAAGAAACCCCCATGGAAGATGTTCTTGAAGCTTGAGAACCCTCCTTTCCAAACCCTAGCCCCTCTTTTCTTTTTGAATTTTCGGAACCCTAGAACAGCCTCTTTTTTCTCTCTTTATTCTCAATAGAACAAACATGAAATTCTATGCACACATCCCTAGGTGGCCCGCTCAAGCGCCCACAATTTTCGCTCGAGCGGTGGTGGATTGCACGTGCGGTGAAGTCTGGCCGCAAGTGTGGTGAGATAGCGGGCCAAGCATTTTCACTTCCTGTGCGGAGAATCTGCTTTTGTGCCACTTTTCGCCTGAATTTGTGTGTTGCTTGCCAAATATATGCAAGCCCACAAAACACCTTATCTTTGCAAAATTGAAAAAATCCAAAGACTATAAATGTATTTTAAGTGGCCTCAATGTGCTACCTTTCGGCCAACATCAATATGTTTTTGGCTATATAGTTTAGAGTAAATTACATAGGTCTCTCTTAAAATTTGAAGAAAATAAGCCCTCTTTTATGTTTTTGCTTTCTATTATTAATATGGGAAGGAGTTCTGTCTAATTTACTGTTGACTTACAAGTGTGATAATCAGTTCGTAAGATATATTATAGGTCTTATTTTGATTATCTAAATCGTACAATTTGTAAAGTTTTTTTGTGTAGATCATTTAGGATAAAATTTAGATTAATGCCATATTTATATCCATATAATTTTTTTCATATTGGTCTTTAAAAAATGGATGGACAATTTCAAAATTACACTTATCATTCATTTTTTTAAACAAATACAATGAAATCATATAATTATGAATATATTGAATCTATTTTTTTTAAATTATCAAAATAAAATATGCGGTGGCTCTATAAACCTCAACAACACCCCTCTAATAAAATTGTGAACGGGAGAGAATCCTTCCCCATTAAAATTGAGAAACACCAAAAATGTTTTCATTGTTCATACATTAATTGAAGTAATCTGATAAGCATATATAAGGTTTGCAAAATATATTTAGGTGACATGCATGTCGAATGCAATATGCTCAGGGAATTCAGTAACTATAGCAATCTTTGATTTGTGTCATTCAGTTGTGGTGCATTTCAATTTGATCTAAGCGGCGTAGCTTTTGGAGACATGGCGAATTTTGGTCAAGCTGATGCATTACACAATGCTGGGAAGTTGCAGATACAATATCAAAGGTTAGAATGCACATAGATGCTAGTTGGTGTGCGTTTACTTGATGAGTGTGCTGTTAAATCTATAAAATATAAATTTTAAATTTGATTTAAAAATAAATATGTTGTGTGCTATTTAAGTAGTAAAGATATTGTTTCCCATACTGAAGATCTTGGATTGGAACCTTTTGCTTGGTTTTTATTTTCTCGTGTTTGGAATAATGGAAAACGAAAGTCAATGAAAAATATTTTTTATCATCAACAAAAACAAGCTTATTTAGATATGAAATATTTTTCAGTTTTAAAAGGTGAAAAATATTTTCCGAATAGTCTTATTAATATCACTATACCACCACTGCCACTCTCACCTCCACAACTACACTATCATCACCACAGCCACCACTACCGTCATCGTCGTTATCACCACCACCGTTGCCCCAACCTTTACCTCTACCTTCATTCTACCACCACCACCACCACCAAACATAGAAAAATATTTTCTATCCAAACAAATGAAACATAAATTTACAGTTGCCAATATTTGGCCATGAATGCACTTTCTCTATAAATTTACAATTGCCAATATTTGGCCATGCATGCACTTTCTCTCTGCGTCTCACATGTTAATAAGGCCCAAAAATGACATTTTCATTTGGCAATTTGTTAAAAAAAAATATGACATTTTCATTTGACAATTTGAGATCCATTTTATTCACTTTAGTTTAGTGTTGGTTGCTATTTGTATATACATTTGACTTCTAGAGTGTCACTTTACTCAATAGCTATTGGCAGCTAGAATGTTGTTTCTCAAAATCTAATGGGTGGAAATTGGTGATATGTGCTTTGGGAGACTGACAACAATACACTTTGTATTGTGATCGTTTGGTGTAACTATTAAAACAGATTATAGATTATAGCTTAACAGATTATAGATTATGACTTTAATCAGAAACTGTTAATTTGTTTGGTGTAGGTGTTCGATTATAGATGTAAGTTGCTAAGTAGTGTTGTTAAATAAGTTGTGGAGTAGTTTTTTGCTGTGTAAATGTCTTTTTTACCCTTGTTAGTTGCAAATTGAATTTATCTAGACTTTTTGCTATTAATTACATATTAAGAGATCATTCCAACACCAAATTAACATAATGATATTATTTTTAGATAATAATAACAATGAAATAAATATTACACAAAAATAAATTTATTATATTTTAATAATTATTTCCTTGAGAAATTGACATTAAAATCTCATATCTTCTTGAATCCATCTCATAATCATCATCACGAACCGGATGCCCATGTTGATCTTCCCTTACCACTGTTTCCTCATCAACAGGGACATACTCAATATGTTTATCGTAAGAGTCAAATGCAATATCCCTTAAATTAGTTCGTCTAATGAAGTTGTGGATCGCCATAGTAGCACAAACAAGTAGCCGTTGACAAACAAAATTGTATTTGCATGGAATATCTTTTATAAAAGGCCATCTTGCTTTCCAAACACCAAATGATCTTTCTATTATGCTCTTAAGTGATGAATGTGTTTTGTTGAATCTTTCATGTGCAGTTTGAGGAGGCCGATGGTCAAATTGAGCTAAATGATATCTCTCCCTTTTGTACGGCGCAAGATAACCCTTTGTCTTTGGATAGCCAGAATCAACCAAATAATACTCATCTACAAAGTAAAATATGAACTCATTACAAATATAACTAATATAGAATAAACGAATAAATCTTAATTTGTGTTACATACATACCTCCTTCTGGATATGGAAAATTATTGTTTGGATTCCTAATTGTATCCCAAAAAATTCGCATGTCATGTGCACTTCCCTCCCAACCAGGCAAGCAAAAGGTGAAACACATACCAAAGTCACACACTGCCAATATATTTTGTGTAGCGTATCCCTTCCTACCTATGAAATGGCATAAGTATTCTGCTTCCACATGAGCTTTAATATGTGTTCTATCAATTGCCCCAATGCAATTCTACATACAAAAAATATCAGAAAATATTTTTTTGAAGAGAGAGAGAGAGAGAGAGAGAGAGAGAGAGAGGGGGAGAGAGAGAGAGAGAGTATTTCTAGTTACCTTAAAATGAGGGTAATATTTTCGACTATTCTTTATGTACGGATGGACCCCATTTCTCTGCCAAGGCTTCATCCAATCCACGGACATTTTCACACACGCTTTTAAAACAGAGTGAAAGTATTTTGAAATAGTTTCACCTGATAATTGAAATCTTTCTTGAGCATTTCTATTGTTTGCATGTTCACTAACAATAAAAAAAAAAAATAGCAACTTGTTGTTGAACCCTAACTTTTTTCCCACTTTGTAGTTCATAGTTAGTCTCTAATAAATTGCACAATTGATAAAAACCATCCCTGTCCATTCTAAAATTTTCATATATTCTTGTAGCATTACCATGTTGCAATTCTAACATCCATTGATGTCCTATGAGGGCAGATGTTCTACATGGTCGTTTATTTAGGTAATTTTCGGCATAAATTGTTCTTGCCACCAATGCTACCATTAGGTAGGGAGTTCCATAAGGGTGATTTGGTTGCTGTGAAGATCCAGCAACATTGTCATCATTGTCATAATCACTATCATCATTGAAATTGTCCATCTTTTTATACTGTATAGAAATTGGGGTCATATACCACATTCATTCAATAAGAAATTAATTTAACACATAAAATAAATATAAAATTAGAGGATATAGATAAAATAAATTAATTTAGCAATAAGAAATTAATTGAACACATAAAATTAGAGGATATAGACAAAAAAATAAATAAAATTAGACAAACATCAACAAAATACCTGCAAAGATTGGAATGCCTCTTGGTTGTTTAACAATTCGGAATGGCAAGCAAGTTCACTATGAGAGTATATATAGACAGTGTCAATGCAATGCCCATCATTTAAAATAATATTTTTTTAAAATTGCTTTCCAATCTTGCAGGCAAATGGACAAATAATAGCTAAAGCCTGTGACCTGAAATTGCAAGGACAAAATCACATGGCACACAAGTGGGCAAATACAACTTGCAATATACTTCCTATTCCATCCGTGAGAGCACAAATCAAATTTGCCATTGAGGCAAACATAAATACAACATCAAGCCAAATTAATTGAAGATAGTCCTAATGTCTTTTTTTTTTCTTTTTTTTAAAAAAAAATAAAAATGAAAAATCGCACAATGAACTAATCACGAAAACCAGGAATGCGAGCTTTTTCCAATGCAATTTTAAGATTAATAAACTTCAAACGCAACACATCATTAGGCAAAGCCATGAAAGACTCACGAAGTGAGGGTTTCATGAACAACCTTGCAGCCCAAACTAAAAGGTCATCATCTTCACTAATGCCAGAGATTGTGCTAATCTTAGCCAAACACTCAGTTATTGTGTGCCGATTTTGCATAGCAGCATTCTGTGTACCAGTTGAAGATGATGCCTCCGCAGCATCGACAATGCGGTTAAGTGTCTTACTCAACTCACCGACAACCGATTGTTTTTTGTTCCCTTTTTGCTTCTTTGATGGACCCTCTTTTTGGTGACGACATTGGTTGCTCAATTCAGATGGATGGATTTCCGTATCAGTATCATCACCAAGTGGGGTGTGAGATCCCTCAGTGTCAAGAAACACTCCAGAGCTTGGGGTGTATGCCCACTCACCAGTTGCAGAAACATTAGAGAATAGTATGTCCATGTCATCGACCAATGTCAATGGCTTCTCACGAAATTTGGCCGCATCAAGATACCTCTATAACAAATATGGTCAAATAATTACAAATATATAAATCATAAAGCTCAAGTACAAGCGAGCAAGAATTTTTTTTTTTAAACATAATTCATTGACCTGCAACTTCAAATTCCACCAATCATCAGATGCGATGATAGCTCCAGTCAAGTGATCTAACCTTAGCCCAGTCTCACCTCTCAATAGATTTTTCCAAAGACCCCACTTCCTTTTTAAGGTATCCCAACGATTTTTAAGTTGAATGCGAACATATGACTTTCCAATTGCAATTTGAACTTGTTAATAACTGCTTCCCAACCAACTCTATCTAAGTGCGTACCACGTCTGTGACCTGCTTTCACTTGCTCCACACAAAGTTTAACAAAAATTTTAGTGGATTTTGTGTCCTAATGTGCCTTTAAACCTTGTGAGGGTTGGGAGTTTTGTGAAGCTTTTCCCTTGCTCTTTGTAGTTGTTGGAGATTGTGATGGTGGTTGGGAACTTATTTTCTATTAAACAAACCATAACAATAAAAACACTTGAATTGCAACAATGGTTTGAACAAACCCTTACTCATATTATTAAAAATCATATCAACAAAAAAATAAAAAACAGATTGGTGTGTGTGACACAACAACAGATGTGTTAAGCACTCCTTCAAAGCATGAACAAATTGGTGTGTTAAGCACTCCCACTAAAGTATTACACTTAACATTCATTTTCACTGTCTTACTTCTCATCTGATATCTTTTAACTCTCATTAATTATAAATAATTACCGTGATATTCTAAATTATCTCTAATTTTTGTTAGTATCCTCATTTCTAAAGGTGGAAAATACGAGACATGAACAGTATACTACAAACTATAGCCTCTTGCCATCCCTATATTACAATTCCACACTCATTGAACTAACAAACCATAAATTAGTTTTTTTGTTTTTGCGTTTCTTTCTTTCTTTCTCTTTTTTTTTTTTGGATAAAATTACTTGAACCTTGCTTCAAGCGAAAATCCTTTACTCCTCCCTTTCACATGCGCTCACTTTCTATCTCCTCTCATATTCCCTCTGCTTACCAACTTTTAGTTGAAGCTTGCATTCAACTATCTCTTGCACCACCAACAAAAACCTTTAACATCTTTGAAACCAATACAACTTGTAAAGAGTCCAATTTGGCTGTCCTTCGCATTATTCAAGAAATTCTGTCTTCGCTCCTGTGGACTTTTTATTCAAGAAAATTATTACTCAAAGGCCTTGTACTCACATAGCAGCAACCATTGCTACTGTCAAATGGGCCCAAGAACACTCTTTTGCACATCTTTTGTCTCCAGAAATTTCTGGGCAACCAAACACTAATGAATTTTAACAACAAAAACTCACCAAAAAAAAAAAAATCAAGAAGAGAGAAAAAGAAACACACAAAAAACACAAACAAAGCATTAATAAACCAAAAATTAATACAATGACAGTCAACTCCTACACAAATTTTTAATATCAAAGCATGAATAAAATTTTCCCAAATTTTTCCTAAACCCTAACTATTCTAATTTTCCCTAATTTGAACAAATTTGAAATAGACAAAATCACAAATAACCAAAACAATACATGCATATATATATATACATGCATGCCGAGCAAGAGAGAAAAGAAAAAATCAGAGATGAAGGAAACAAACCAAAGCCGCAAACGAACCAAAGCCGAAAAGAGAGAAAGAGATCCAGCGCAGGAAACGAACTAGAGCCGCACGTCGCCGGAAGCGAACCAAAGCCGGAAACAAACCAGAGCCACACATCGCCGGAAGCGAACCAAAGTCGCAGGTATGCTACTGCGTTGCTACTTGCTGCTATATATCTCTTCCCAAAGAGAAAGATTAGGGCAAAAAAAGAATATATATAGCTGGTATAAGAGTAAATAATTCAAAACACCAAGGGCATTTAAGTATCTTTACCTTCCAGATAAACCCCGTGAGAATCTGAAGCAGCTCCAAGCAGTTTCTGAAATTTAGCTTTTTTTACCTTTCACATAAGTTGTAGAAGTTTAAGTTGAAGCTGATTGAAGTGTGCCAAATAGTTTGAATCTGCTTTTTTTTTTTAAGCTAAAAGCTAGAAGTTGGGTAAAATAATCTTGAACAAACACCACCATTGCTGTTTGTATAGTGTTGCAGATTGTCAATTCAATTTCGATGGATTCACTTGGTGAATAGTTGTAATGACTGGATTTTTTTAATATTTTTATTATTATTATTATGAAAACATTACATAATTTAATTGAATGATTGTTACACCATGTGGTTAGTGATTTTTTTTTAAATTTATTAAAAGATCATTTGTAAATGGATTTATGATAATTGAAACACAGTTTTTAGTTTGTTACACAGTTCGGGGTAAATTTTGTGTCTCTAGAGTTGAAGATCTTATGCTTTTGTACAATTTTAAAAATAGTTGTATAGCTCAAACACTTATGAAAATTTTATGAAAAGTTTATGTATGTGTGAGGATATATTTTCTGAGTACCAACACGTGGCCAAGGTGACGCCGACGTGTCAGCCGAGATGCCACGTGTCCTGGTTGTTATGCCGAGGTCATCTCGGATAGGCCGAGGTTACCTCCGAAGATATCGGAATCCGAGATAAGCGGATGAGGGGTAAAAGTCCTAGAATGAGAGAGGACTTCAGTTTGTATTAAGATAAAACTCTTAGAGAGTTTATCCTAATCTTACTGGGAGTCCAAGATTAGCAGTAATCCTAAGTCCATAGAAGTTAGGCTTCTATTGAGACTAGGTTTATGTTGGCTATAAAAGAGAGGCACTCCCATGGGTTTAAGGTATGCTTTTAATACTCAAGCTTGTGAGTTTAGCACTTGATTTATCTTTGAGAGATATACTGACTTGATCGTCGAAGTGCCCCCGGGTGGGCGAACCACCGTCGGAATCTTCTCTTTCTATTGCAGGTCAGCCAGGTGCCATCTATTCTGCCGGTGCTCTCCAGCTGGTTACTAAGCGGGCAGTGTGGTCAGAAAATCACTCACACAGTATGAGTATTTATTTTCTAAAAATTTATGAATTGAACAATGTTTAGTTTAATTTATAGCAAAATTTTTGTGTTGAAATTTGATGCTAAAATCATGACTTCAGGTAAAACTTATTGGGTTTAGTTTTGTATATATATGGGGCATGTTTGGTTCATGGGTGTAAATTTAATTCAAAGCTATAATTTAGAATCAATCTAATTTGGACTCGTGTAACACATGTTTAAATGTTTGGTTCTTTTGTATTACATGAATGGAAGGTACCATCTCGAGAGTTGTTATTATTTATATGCTGATTATAATAAATATTTGAAATGTAATTTTATAATATATTTTATTAAACAAAAAAAATATATTTTGTGATAAAAAAAATTACATTATTTTATATTACAAAATATTAAAATATTAAAGTGTTGTTACTCTTCAATTTCCTCAAAATTGGAGCATCTTCCAATCTTTTCTAATAATGCAACACGTCAGCGTTAATGACTTCAATGGCACAGATCACAATAAATCAATTAATTTAATAACCCATAAGCGATGCGTTTTGAATCTCCAATTCGTTTAAAAAATGGATTAGTCTTTTAATTTTTTAATTTTTTTAACTATTTTAATTTGAGATTAAAAAGTCTTGTTTAGGAAAGAGTTTTTTAATTTTTGTAATAAAAATAATATAATAATTATGGATTAGATATGATGTTTTATTTTATTGGACTAAAAAGTATATTTTTTCTTTTTATAACTAAAATAATTCCAACCCTTTTTCCTAAACGAAGCCAAAGCATCTCCAACTCTAATAGACATTTTGCCTATTTAAATATTATTATAAAGTATATATTTTATTTTTTCTATCAATTATTTTATGTTTCTATTCCAATCTTATTCTTTATTTTAACTATTTATTTAAATGCTATTAATTTTATAGAATATCATCCAGTAATAAAAATGGAAATAAATTATTATAATGATTAAATATATTTTGCTTAATCTTTAAAGGCTATTTACATATAAATAGTGAATGTAAATTGAGTTATAATATATAATCGTATAATTAATACATTAGAATTAAAAAAAAAAATTATTATACTAGTCATTTTAATCAACAAATATTACATACTTAGGCCTCGTTTGGGAACTCTCATTTTTAGCCAAAAAGTCAAAAAGTTACTAAATTAATCAAAAAGCCAACAACTCATACCAAAAAGTTAAAGATTCTTTTTTCTCTCCACTTTTTGCACATCATTTCGTAAAAGTTAAAAAGTCATCCCAAACATACTAGTTTTTTTTAACTCATATTTTAACCAAATAATCAAAAAATTATTAAATTAGCCTGTTCCCAAACGAGGTCTTAATGGATTAAAGATGCTCTAAGGGTGTCTTCCTCTGTTCTCCGTTAACGCTTCCGAATCTTCAATTTCCTCGTTTTCTCCGTCCTTCCAAATAAGGAACCGAAGGCACAAGAGTCAAACGCCATTTAGTTTGATGTCCTGTCACGTTAGGCGATGTTTGGTTGGAGGTTGTTTAGTTAAAATAGTTAGGCCAAGTTTGGCATGATTGAAAAAATATAAAAAGTCAAAAAGTCACTATCCTATTTAAGTCACATCATCTTATTTAAGTCACATTACCTCTCTAACGCATCACTTCAAACCCAACCCAAACCCAACCCATATTTCATAAAAAGTCAAAAAGTGCACTTATTTAGTCTTCCCAAACTAGGCCTTAATAAAGATTAAATAGATTAAAATAATTAATGAGACAAAATGTCATAATTAATTTATAATTATTTTACATTTTTTCTCACAACAATCAAATCAATTGAAAAAAATTACTATTATTTCAAACACAACCTTTTTGATTAAATTAAAATAATAAAAAAATTAATTAAAATCATGTATTTTCAAACGGAGCCTTAGTATCAAACTAATCAATTGTTTTTATTTTCAACAGAAAGAAGCATTGATATGCTCTATTTGAGAGCTTCTCTCTCTAAACTTTTCTTCTCCCAGGGTTTTCAGAGTTTGTGACGGTCAGCGGTGGGGGAGGGGGTTCCGGCGGCCCCCGGCCTCCTCTCCCCTCCCCCTACCCCTCTTTTGCTCTTTCCTTTCCTTACTTTTCTTTCCAATAACTTGAAAGTTTTGGCTTTCTACCATCTCCCTCCTTTGTGAGGTGCTTCTTTTCTCTTATCCATTCACTATGGGAGTGGCCTTCTCGGATTCGTGCCTTTCCCGCCACATTCATCACCTCTTCTCAGCCTTCTTAGCCACCTTCATGGCCTCTTCTCCGCCACCTCTTCCTCGCCGTTCTTCTCCATCGCCGGATTCGGCGACGCCGCTACCGGATTTTGTTTGGTTGTGGGTCTGTTTTGTTTTGTTATTTGGCTTTAGTCTTAAGTTGTTTTCCTTTGTCTTTCTTTTCCTACTGTTTGTGTGTTGGTTCTGGGTTTGTTTGGTTTTTTAAAGTCCATCTGTGCGGATTTGTTAAGCTTA